CAAGCTATCCAACCATTCAATTTAACTTATTGCAAGCATATGGCACTGCCGTGCGGACAAGCAATCGAGAGGCGAGAAGCGAGGCATGCCAGCGGGCAAAGGCAGCCCGGCTTACCATCCGTGTCGAATGCAGTGCCCGTTGCCAGCTTGATCATGACATCTGCCTGTAACTGAGAGATAACACCTTCTGCCTTCCACAGGTCTATTGCCAAAGCCAGAAACTTGCTGAAATCAATGCCTGCTTTGCCCAGCTCGCCCTTCAGCCGCGACCGCTCGGAGCGGCTGCCGGCGGCGGCGCACCGCTCAGTGAAGAAGTCCTTGAACTCCTCCCAGAACACGATGGAATGGCAAAAGAACTTGATCTCGTGGGAGTAGCCTGACTGAACGGCGATGGCGACGCGCGCCTGTGGATGTGCTTCACAAAACCTTTCCCACGAGTTGAAGCGCGACTTCAGCTGCTTAGCTTGGTTAGCTGCACCGCTCAATAGCGGCGTTGGACCTAGAGCCTTGCTGCCGGACTGGGCACCATGCTCATGTGTGCTCATGGGGGTTGAGTTCGTTGGAAAAGCGTATTACGGTTGCTGGGATGCCAACAGAACAAACGGGAGGGAGAATGATGCATGATTGAGGATGATGTCCCCAATGACCCTCCAGGTGGGGGGCCATCATGCCCATCATGGGGCACATCCTTACCGGGAGGCCTACCTCTGCATCACCTGGCCTTGAAGGGCTTGCTACATTAGAGAGCGAAAGTGCACCAAACATCTGTTTTGATTTGTCAAACAACTTGTAAAGTAGTTGACAAAAACCAGCAGGAGACTTGCTCGGGTTGACGCAGTTCGCCCCGGGCAGGCTCATCCCATACCCGTTGCTTGCGGGTTCACCACCTTGGCGTACTCTGCTATGCATCCATAACAAGTAAGGATCTTTACATGCATTTCGGGCTCCACAGCCATCTCCAACACAGGCTGTCTGCCCCACCTGGCGGCGCTGCCCTGCTGGCGTGCGGCGGGTCCATCCCACCTGGAGTGAGGGCGCAGACCTGCTGCTGATCGCCACGGAGCTACCTCTCATACCGGACTCTCTGCGTAGTGTTTGAGGGCGTCCGCCCGTTGTACCCACTGCCCATGGCTGCCGACCTAGGGCCATTCCCAGAGTGAGCGCATGCCTGAGACGCTGTGGAACCTTGCCGATGCGTGCCTGGGGCCGCGCAGCATGCGTCAGCATTACACTTGGGGCGGCGGTGGCGCCGCCATGTCAACCGCACTGTGCATGTTGCTGGCTGTTCAGGGGCGGCAAGAAGCTGCGCAAGGACGCCCGGCTGGAGGATGTGTACAGCCTGGGCAGCATCATCGGCACTGGAGGTGGGCACCAACGTGACTTTCCCATGTGCTCCATCGCCGCGTCAACAGCAGCCTGCAGTACGTTGACACACACACGCCACCTCCCTCTGCTACTCAGGCTTCTCAGAGGTGCAGGTGGCCACGGACCGGGCTATTCGGCATCAGTGCGCCTGCAAGTCAATGCCGCTGCCGCCGGCAGACAGCGAGTCCAAGGCGGAGCGGCAGGCCAGGATGGCGGCGCTGCGTGAAATCAGCTCGATGTTGGGCCTAGAGCATCCCAACGTTGTGGGCCTGCGAGAGTACTTTGTCGAAAGCAACAGGGTGTACCTGATCATGGAGCTGCTGCGAGGTGAGCAGGGCAGGGAGTGCGGCGCAGCAGCAGGCCTTGTCTGCATGTGCTCATGCGCTTGCTGCTGCCGCTGCAGGCGGCGAGCTGCTGGACGCGGTGAACACGCACGGGCCGTTTAGCGAGGAGGATGCGCGCACCATATTCCTGCAGCTCATGCGTGGCGTCCAATACCTGCACTCTGTGTGAGCACGAGGCCCGCATTTGGCTCGCCAGAGCTTGCTTGGGCAGCGCTTTCGCGACGCGTGCATGATGGCTCCTTCCCTTCTGGTACTCGCTTATGCAGGGGGGTGGTGCACCGCGACCTGAAGCTGGACAATCTGCTGCTGGCAAAGAAGGGTGACATCAGTTGTTTGAAGATTGCAGACTTTGGGTGAGACACCTGCCTGCTCCTGAAGGCTGTGCCACACGTGCATACACAGCGGCTAATTGACACCTCTCTTTGTGTGCAGGGTTGCCATGAAAGGCTCCCCCGCAGTGCTCAACAGCATGAGGACCGTGTGTGGCTCGCCGCGTGAGTGCCCTCTTGCTTCGCCCAGTGCATCTGGCAGATGGAGGAGGCGGATCTTCCCCCCATGCCTGCCTTCATGCTTCGCTGTCTGCGACCACATGAGCATGAGCACCCCAACTATGAGCCCAGCCTTCGAACTCCCACGCCTTCTCCTGACCTGCAGAGTATATTGCGCCAGAGGTGATCTGCGCCGGCAAGAAGCGCGACGCTGCCAGCACAGATGCAGATCTGGATGGGTACGGCCCAGCCTGCGACCTGTGGAGCTGCGGCGTCATCCTGTTCATGCTGCTGGGCGGCTACCCGCCCTTCTGGCACGAGAGCAAACCGCAGCTACTGGAAGCTGTTGAGCGCGGCGAGTTTGAATTTGCCGACCCTGTGTGGCAGGAGGTCAGCTGGCAGGCCAAGGACCTGGTCTCCAAGCTGCTGGTGGTGGACCCAGACAAGCGGCTGACCCCTGCGCAGGCAAGGCTTGTTTCTGCTGTCGAGCAGATTAGATTGGGGAATGGCATGGATGCCAGCTGTTCGGCGGGTTCGCAGGCAGGAGGGGTCGGGTTCAGACTGGGCCGTCAGAGCCAATCGCCACTGCTGCTGAGGAAGCGTGCTGAGGAAGTGCTGGTGGTGTGGGCGCTGCTGCAGGTGCTTGAACACCCCTGGCTGGCGAGTGGTGGTGCACAGGAGCGGCCAATTGAGGAGCGGCCGCTGCTGCAACGCACAGAGCGCAGGAACATACATAGAGGTGTTCGCAAGCAGGAGGGTGAGTCTAGCTGCATCCATGCTGGCCTGCTTACTGTCTCATTATGCAGGTGCCTGGTTCAAGGCAGCGATAGTGGCCGAGAGGCAGGTGCAAGGTTTCAGCAGGAAATGCCCTCAAGTGCACTCAAGGGTGGCCTCCCCCTGCTTCTCTCCTTCCTTTCAGATTTCAACCTGGAGCGCACAGCGTACTTGCTTTTGCTGTTGCTACTGTGTGTGGTACTCCTTTTCATTGCGTTTGGTTAAAAATTCTGCTCGCGCTCTTGGTCCTTTTCGGCCAGTTCACCTGACGCTGTGTACACCGTGTACACACGTGCCACACTACTACTCTGAGAACTGTTTATGATTACTTTTGTGTGATGCCTGGATACGGATGATTGCATTGCACTTGACTAAGTTTAAAGGAACGGGGTGGTGCGAGTTTTGAGCAGGAGGTTGTTTTGTGGTGTGGCCCCGGGGCACTGGCGCGCCGCCATGCTGCCGAGCGCGGCGCGCCTGCTCCCCGTGCGTTGCTCGAGGCCTGCACAACGAAAGCATCCCCTCGCGCCCTCTGCTGTTTCTCACGATGGAGCGCCTGGAAGGATGTATTCAGCGTCTTGAAATCAGCCTGCCTCCCGACCAACCCATGCCATCCCTCGCGGAGCTGGCCCAGACATCGTGCAATGTAAGGCTGGAGTGGGAGGCGGGAGCCAGCCCGCGCAGCGCTGTGGCAAGGGTGCCGCCGCCATCGCCGCTGATCGTCGCCTCCCCACACCCCGCGGCCGGGCCAATCTGCCCGTCAGTTGCTTTCTGCATTCGTGGCGCTGCACAAATGCACGAGGTGTTCCTTCTGCCTGAGTGTGTGCGTTTGTGGCCCTGCTACCCCACCCTTTTGCCCCCCTTTTTCTGCCACGGCCGCCTTTACGTGCAGGACTGGTCGGCGCTGCCGCACTCGCTGCTGGGAGAAGTGTTCCGCCGCCTGCTGGAGCAGCATGTCACCCTGGAGGAGATTCTGCGGGCATGGCAGGTGTGACTGACAAGCAGATGCCAGCCAACCGCTCGGCCGGTGCCGCCTGCCTAGCTCCACCCGCAGAATTCCAGCTGCCGCCAGGCGCCTCGTCTCTCCCTCGACCTGTGCTCGCTGCCCGCCCACGGCTGCTGCACTGCAGGGGCTGGCGTTGGTGTGCAAGGGGTGGCTGATGGCGCTGCAGGAGGCCACGCCGCTGTGCCTGGAGCTCACCAAGCCGGCGCACCTGTCGTCGCCGGCCCGCCGCTGGCTGAGCAGCGTGCCGATGGAGGTGAGGCGGGGTCGGAGCGCGAGGTGTCGGGGGATTGTGGGGCCGTGGAGCGGTGGGCTTGTAGGGGAGGGCTGGGTTGAACGCCCGGCTGGGCATCTGACGCGGGCACAGCATGCTGCCAGAGCAGCCGGCCGTCAAGCCTGCACCCGACTGGCTTGGCACCGCCCCTGGCTGTCGTGGCGAGCAGGTGGTGATGCTGTCCCGCACGATGCTGCCTCCGCCGGGCGCCGACTGCCAGCTGCTGGCGCGGGAGGAGTTCCAGGCGCACTCCTCGTCGGTGCTGCGCTCCCTCATGCACGTTGGCCTTGACACCCTGCCGCTCCTCCACAACTTCTCTCGCCTCAAGCAGGTGCGGCAGCACTGGCCTCAGCACATCTGCCGCCTGGCGGTTATCAGGCGGGGTGGAGCGGGCTGCTAGATTTCCCTGCCCCCCACCGCCCACCCCACACCCGCCCACCCCACACACCCAACCATCATGATGTGCAGGTGGCGCTGTTTTGTCGCGACGACGCGGACCCGGCGCGGCCCATCGACGCCGCTATTTTCCAGCAGCTGCCCAAGCTCAACTGCTTGACCATAGCTGGTGCGTCTGCCCGCCCGCTCAGCCTGCCTGCCGACCTGCTGCCCGCCAGTAGCCGGGGCTCCGACGCTGCCTGCACTCCGTTTGCTGCAGCCCGGTTGCTGCCACTCCAGCAGCAGTTGCACCCTGCCTGCCCTGCTCGCTGCCGCTGCTCGCCGTCACATCCATCGGTCATGGTGGTGGGATGAACATTAATGCTGGCAAGTGACATGCATCTGCATCTGCTATGCTGCCGCTGCCGCAGGCTACTGGGGCATGCTGGACACTTCAGAGCTGCCCACCCGCCTGAAGCACCTGGCTCTCAGGTACAGACAGCACCGAGGCAATGGCTGCTGGCCCGCCGTGCGACTGCGCTGTGCCATTTTCCCTCCGTTTGCCCGCTTCGCCACCTCCCCAGCCTCCCCCGGTGTGCATGTGCCTGTGGCCTGCAACGTCCGCCCGTGCAGCAACTACAATGAGGGGCACTCATTGGATATTGTGCTTCCGGAGGGCATGAAGCAGCTGGAGCTGCTGTCGGCGCGTGCAGACAGCGTGGTAAGCAGGACGCGGGGAAGGCGAGGGCGGCCCATGCTTCGGCGCTGCCCTCAAGCGCGGGTGGCAGCAGCGGAACCGGCAAGCCGCATCTCGTTGCTTGCCCCGTGCTGTTCCGTTGAATGGCGGGCGGTGTCATGGTGTCGTCATTCCTCCTCCCCCTCCCTTCCACAGTTTCTCGACTGGGTGGATGTGTGCGCGCGGTGCGAGGAGGTGCAGGTGGCGGCAAGCCTGGCGGTGCTGCGTGTGGGGCGGGAGCCGGTGGCGTGCCTGGTGCGGGAGGTTGGCTACAGCAGCCTCCAGGTGAGCGCAGCGTGCAGCTGTGCCAAAGCACGTGGTTGGCAAGCATGGTCGAATGTGTGCCACGGCAGCAGGAATGGGTGGCAACCTGGCGGGCCTCCTTCTCCACCCTGTGCTGTTGTCGGCCTGATAGTGGGGGCCGCTGCGGATCCGACCCCAGATGCCGCACCAGCTGCCGGTCCCGCTGTGACGCCCACCACCTGCCTGTACCACGTGTACCGCTTGTACTGCAGGACCATCTGTACAAGCGCGTGTCGTCAGCGATGGCCGAGGGGGAGCACTTCCAGGAGGTGAGATTGTGACCGTGCTGCGAGAGGGAGGGAGGCTGGCCTTCGGGGGAAGGGATGGGCGAGGGTGGCCGGCGCGCCGTGCTTGCACCTGCGCATTGTTCGCACCACTGCCACCATGCCCAATCCTTCCTGTTCACCAGGCTTCCACACCGCCCCCCCACCTGCCCTCTTCAACATTGTTCCAGGCCATGCTGGCGTTTTTCGACCTCGCACTCTACAGCGGGCCAGCAGGGGAGGCGCAGCAGCGGGGTCCCATCGTGCCAATTGAGCCCGATGACTTCCTGCAGACGCTGCGGTGAGGGAGGGCAAGCGAGCCGCAGCTGCTGCAGCGTGCAGCAGGAGGGTGGGGCGTGTAGCAGGAGGGTGGGGCGTGCAGAGCCACCCGCCCTGCGCGCCCGCCGAGAGGGTGCATTCCCTGTCCTCCACCCGCCTTTGCGACCCCCGACACACTGGCTGGACCCAACACCTGGTGCCAAATGCCTGCAGGGACGAGCTGCTCCCGCTGGGTGTCGATGTCAATCCGGCGCTCGAGATACATCCTGAGTTTGTGAGGGATGTGCCCTCTCCGGTGAGCCTTCCTCTGGTCTGAACATGTCAACAGGGAGAGCTTCATCTGGTTTGAAATGGCCAAGGGAGTGGAAAGGGTCGAGGGAGGGGGCGGCTAAGGGTGAGGACTGGTTGAGATGTTTTTGGAGATCAAGCCCCCATCGTTGCGAGCCTGCCTTCCTGCGCCTCTCCTGCAGGATGCCTGTTTTGTGCTGGAGCTTGTGAGGCAGGAGGCGGGCAAGCCCAAGAGCATGCACTTCACGTGAGGCTGGCCTGCCGGCTGCGCCTGCACCTGTGCTGCCCGTGCCTGTTGGCCGGGCTGTTCTGTATGCTGCAGTAGACTGTGCTGCATTGCTGGATGTTACAGCGACCGTACTGCTGCACTGTGCATGGGCCTGTGCAGGACGCCGGTAACGGATTCGGAGATCCGGCTGCTCACCTCGCAGCCCGTGTGGCGCATCAGCTGGTGCGATGACGAGCGGGCTGCGCAGGTGTGTGGGTGCACGAGTGCGTTTGTGAAGTTGCGTGGTGGTGGTGGTGGGGAGGGGGGGCACATGGGGCCGCGGGAGCCCTGGCACGACGGTCGGGCTGCTGCTTTATTCAACGTGCCTGTCTGCTCAACTCCCTCATCTTCACACCTCCCCCGCTGATGGTCCTGTCTCTCCTGACCCTCCCACCTTGTCTACAGGTGCTCGCCGACCCACACCTCCTCACTCACTCCGCCGGCACCCTCACAGACCTGCTGTCCATCCCGCTGGTGCCGGGTGCGTGCTGAACGTGGAATGTCAATCAAAGACAAGGGTTGTGCCTGTCCCTGGCCCTCTTGACTGATCCGTTTGCTGTCCTGCATCCACCTCTCTGCCTTCAGAGCTGGACCTGCGTCCCTTCACCAAGCTGGTGAGCGTGCTGGGCACTGTCAAGACGGATGACGTGGCGGCCGTGCTGCGGCGCATGCCGCGCCAGCTCGAGTCGCTGTGCCTGACGGCGGAGGACAGCCAGCACCCCCGGGACTTTGATGCAGGTGCGCCGCGCCCGCTGCTTTGCATGCGCGCCCCCAGCCCACGCCAGCAGACATCTAGCCAGCCAGCCGGCCCAGCCAGCCGGCCACCCTATCCACCCACCACTGCACGCGCTCGGATGCCCGCATGCCCACCCAAACCTTACCGTCCGCGGCGCTACCAAGCTGACACATTCCTGCTGCCCACTGGTACAGAGCTGGTGCAGCACCTGCGCCACCTTAAGGAGCTCTCTCTGTACTCACACCGGCGGCACAACCTGGCGACACTGAGCCGCAGGGTCAACATGATTCGCATCCTGGTGGGCGGGCTGCGTGTCTAGTCATTGACACCACGTGCTGCGTGCCTGGGGGTGCAAGCAGCGGGGCATGCTGCTTGGGGAGGGGTATGCTGCTTGGGGAGCCTCATCCCCCGCCCGCCTTTGCTCGCCCGCCGCCCGCCCTGCTGCGTACTGCGCAGAACCCTTTGGTGGCTGAGGGCGAGGTGATTGGCAGGGGTGCCAACTACCTTTGGCCAGACCTCAGCGGCAGTGCCAGCAGCAGCAGCAGTAGCAGCAGCAGCAGCGAAGATGGCAGCGGCAGCAACGGCGGCAGCGAAAGCGGCGATAGTTTCTCATCTGCGGCAAGTGAAGTGGATGCAGACTCGGACTCGGACAGAGGGGCGGCGGTGGGAGTGCCTGAAGAGCCGGAGCAAGCAGCGGAGCCTGTGGCATCGGCCCCGCCTGAAGGTGGCAAGCCTGCTGCTGCCCCCAATGCGCCGGAAACCATTACCGCACCAGCGCCAGCAGGGCCGGCGGCTGTTGGAGAAATGGATGACGATGGCAGCAGCACCGTCAGCAGCGACTATTTGGAGGCGGAGCATGGCCACGGCCACAAGCATGGTGCCGCCGGCGCCGACGAGGAGCCGCACAGGTGCGCCTCTCTTGCTGCCGGGTGGGGTCCAGCACTCCTCGCCAGCTGGACCTCCATGTCCACCTGCTGCTGCCTCTGCTCTGTGGGGGTTCTGTGGCGCCGTCGCAGGCTGGCCCCCTCATTCGCCGCCGCTTCGCCCCTGCACCCCCTGCGCCGCTGACTGCAGCAAGCAGGCCTGCGCGGATCCCTACTGCCCGATACATTCTGGGAAGAGCTTCCTGCAGGTCAGTAGAGTCTGGGCGCCCTCTTGTGCCCCATCAGGCGCCACCCCACCTGCCAGATGGAATGAGCAATGCTGCCGACCTGCTCTCTCCCCTGCCTGTTCCCCACCATCTGTCTGTCAGCCTGCCGCGGCCCTCCTCATGCTTGGGCTGCTGCTGCTGTGCCCCTCTGCTATGCAGATTTCGCTGACTGACAATCGCGAGCATAGCTCTATCGACCTTTCAGCTCTGTTGGCAGCTGGCTTCCAGATGCTCACCATCACCCTGTCGGCAGAGCAGCCCAACGTGCGTCATCGCCGTCTGTGGCTGCGCTGGTATCTTGATCTTGTGTGCTGCTCCGGTCGGCGCATCAATGCGTGCTAAGGCCCGGCTCCCTGCCAGTTCACGGTGCCTCCGCCTCCTGCCGGGCCACCTCCTGCAGGCGCGCTGCACGCTGCTGCATGAGGGCAGCTGGCGCTCGATCCTGGCGGCGCTGGAAACCTCTGGTGGGCGCTATGCGCGTGCCTGGGGAGCGCACATGCGGCGCTCGCTGGGCATGCACTGCTGCCTGCTTGGCGCAAGGGGCTGCCTACCCAGCCCAGGATGCTCCCCGTGCTGCTCCGCCCTTCCGACCGCATCCCCTGCCCTGCAGACATCGAGGTGATGGAGCTCAACTGCCAGGCCGCCAGCATGGTGTTCCGCAGCACCTCGCTGCTGCACCGCCTCACAGAGGTGGGTCTGCCAAAGCTGTCGGCATGGCAGCAGACACACGGCGCCAAGCGCCAGCGGTTGCGTGGTGAACAGCTGCGGGGCGGGCATGCATGCCATGCCCTGTGGGGCTTGCTGTCATGTCCCGTGCTGATGCTTTCCACGCCTTCATCTGCCTGCAGGTATCAGTGGAGTCTGCCATTCGTTACGTTGCCGAAAACTACGGCGAAGTGTGGCAGGTGGGTGCACCTGGCAGCTGGCATGACCAGCTGGCAGGGCGGCTACTGCCTGTCAGGGAGTCGGGACCCAGTAGGAGATTCTGTCAGCCCTGCCTGCCGCCATTGCATGCTTGGAGCCCCGACCCCTGATTCCTTTCGGCCGCAGGTGAAGAGCTGGAATGGCAACACGGCGGCCGACGGCGTGCTGGAGGGCAGCCGGGGGTATGCGCTGATGCGGAGAAGCGTGGTGGAGGCGGCGGCGCAGCTGGCAGCGGAGCTGTGACGGAATCGCCATGAGGACCAAGCTGCGGCGACTGTGGAGTGGTCGCCGCCATCCCTCTGTGCCGCCAGCCATGTCATGCATTCCTGCACCATGGCGGCCATCCAGCCGGCTTGCCAATGCCAGATTGAATGCATACCGCATTTGCTGGCTGGTGCGCAACATGAAGCAGGTGACTTTGTGCTGTCTGCCGATGTTACCATTGCAAAGTGACAAAGAAAACAGCCCAGCAAGGGCATGCATGGCATGGGAGCCTGTGATAGCGACCCATGGGTGTGAGCAGAGCCGCCCGGAGCGGCGGCGGTAGCTGAGCTGGCGTTGCATGGCTTAGCTAGCAGTGTTTCTGAAAGCTGGCGAAATCGCCAAATGCTGGCGAAATCGGGCAAAAAACGGCTCTGGCTGGCGATTGGCCGAAGGCCATCGCCAGCCAGAGCTGGCGAAATGAGGGCAGGCGGCAGGGCATGGTCGCCAGCCCGTCGCCATCCCCCATGACTGGCATCGCCAATATATTGAGGGAAAATGGCCAAATTTCCTCAGGAACTTCATTCCATAGTGTTAAAAAAGCGCCAGCTTTCTGGGGGCTTCGCCCCCAGTCCCCCATAAAGGGAGGCAAGTGCCGACAAAGCAACGGCGGCACCGCATGCGTCCGCTGCGCCGCGCCAGGCGCAAGGGTGGTTCCCCCGCAATTCGCCAACCCCCACTGTGCCATCGCCAGTTGATTGGCGAAATTTGGATGCGACAGCGGTCCTCATCGCCAGCCCATCGCCAACGCTGCCACGAGGGCCAGAAACACTGTTAGCTAGGGAGGCCTCAGGGATTGCGGATGATCCCCACTTGAATAGTCCAAGCGCCTGAAAGCCGGCCCCCAAGGGTTGTCGGCGACGCACGGTTCCTTGTCATAGCCTGGCCTCTGCAGACCGCTGCGCCCCGGGCAGCCATCCGTAGGGCCCCCGCCATGCTGCAGATGCGATCTCTCGCGCTGCGGTCCACCCAAGCGGGCCTCGCTCCTGCAGCCGCCCCCTGCAGCTCCCAACTGCGCTCGAGAGGAGCAGCCCCCAGGTGCGTGGGACCGGCGACAGGCCGACCCCGAGGCCCGATCACGGCGCCACGGGGTGTCGATCGCGCGGTCTCACCTGTTATTCCATTGCCGCCACCCCACCGCCCGCAGGCCACTGCTGGTGTCCAAGGGGCTGGGCATGGTTGCGGCAGGGCTGCAGCAGCGGCGCATGCGCGCCGCGCTAGTCAAGGCAGCCCAGGAGGAGCCAGACAACGGCGAGGAGGTGGCGGCGCCAGAGGTGATTGCTGCCGCCTGCGCACTTGTGTGCATGCATATCGACCGCCTGCTCACCGCGGCTGTCCTCTCCCGCTTACCTGCACCTGCCGTCCATGCTGCCTGCTGCCCGCTGCCCACTGGACCCTGACCCATGCCTTGGCTTGGCCGCCCCGCCCGCCGGTGCAGCCGTCCGCCGCCGCCGCCACGCCGCCGCCGCCAGCCAGCCTCAGCGAGCTGCCGGCCTATCCGCCAGAGTTTGTGCGGCGCCGCCTCATCACCTTTGTGGGCATCGTGCTGGGCTACAGCTGCTTCTACCTGACCCGCAACTCCCTCACCTACACAGCACCCGTCATGGTGAGCCAGCCAGCCAGCCAGCGGGCTGAGCGGGCGGTCCCGCCCTCTGTGACGCATCGCCTCGGAGCCAGCCAGCAGCATGCATGCGCTGGAGGCTGCGCGAGCAGGCAGAGGGCAGTGCAGGGAGCAGCTGACAGGGGAGCAGCTGGCAGGCTTGTGGGGGCCGGTAACGCTCCGATGTGCAACTGTGTGTGTACGGCCTGCTGTTCCCGCTGCCAGGTGGCGGACCCGTCGCTCCCCATCGGCATGACTGAGATTGGCACCATGACCTCCATCTTCCCCATTGCTTACGGCTTCAGGTGAGGGGCTGGGTCGGGCACCAGGGGTGCATGTATGGGTCGCCGCCAGGGCGCGGGGCCTGGTGGAGGATGTGCGGGGCCTGGTCGGGTGTGAGCATGATCCCCTCCGCAGCGCTAAAGAGCCCGTCTTTCTGCCCCTTCCGTTGAATGCCGCTGCCGTTGAATGCCGCCCTCCCCTCCACCCTCCCCTCCACCTGCCGCGCAGCAAGTTTGTGAGCGGCGTGCTGGGCTCCCGCACCTCGCCCACCATGCTGCTGGCGGGCGGCCTCATGGCCACCGCCGCCCTCAACGTCGCCTTTGGCTTCTCCACGTCCCTCGTCTGGTTCTGCACCTGGTGGGCGATGAACGGCATGCTGCAGGTGGGCTGGGCTGGGTTGGGGAGGGTGAGCGGCGGCTGCATAGCGGGAACCGAGGGCCGCGACGCTCGCACTCCCATCCCGCCGCCGTCAGCGCCACCGCGTGCCATGCCCGCTGACGTGTCCCTCCCCACCAACTCCCACCGAGCTGCAGGGCGTGGGCGCGCCCTGCTGCGCCCGCATCCTCACCTCCTGGTTTGCGGCCAAGGAGCGCGGCACGTACTGGTGCGGCGCATGGCCGGGCATTGCTGTGGCGCCCGCGTGCGTGCTGCTGGCTCGCCGGCAAGCCGGTAGGTAGAAATCACCGCCGCGTGCCCGCCCCCGCCGCTGCAGGGGCATGTGGAACATCGCACACAACATGGGCGGCTTCCTGGCACCCATCCTGGCGGGCACGGCAGCAAAGGTGGGTGGGTGGGTGTGCGGGCGCAGATGAGAGAGAGTGTGTGTGTAGGGGGGGGCGTCCAATGTTTGGACGGCGGCGGGGGCTTGTTCCCAGGCCCCCCAGGGTGCGTACAGCCGCTGATGGGTCCACAATCGCGGCTGGCCTGGCCTGGCGGCCCCTGCCTGTCGATCCACAGATGTACGGCTGGCAGTGGGGGATGTTTGCGCCCGGCATCGTGGGCACAGCCATGGGCCTGCTCATCCTGCTGGGCGTGCGGGACTCGCCGGAAGCAAGTGAGCGACGCCGTAGCCCGCTGGCATGCAGCCGGCACCCGGTGCTCTGTGCACACCCGCTGCTGCTGCTTGCATGCCTGCTTCGCTGCCAGCGCTTGTTTTCCCACCTGCGGCTCAGCGGCGGTGCCTCTTATTCTTGCTGTGCCACGTGCCATCCTGCTTGTCCTCCCTGTCTCCGCAGTTGGCTACCCTCCTGTGGAGGCCCGCAAGGAGGCGCCTCCCAACGCCGACGGCAGCCAGGCGCCCAAGGAGAGCCTGGTCAGCCTGCTGGTCAACGACTGCCTCAAGTGAGTTGGGCCTGGGAGCCGGATGCTGCGCTGGGGATGGGCTGCCGGCTGCAGGCGGCCGCACGTGCTGGGCCTGGATCGACGAGCTGTGCAGATGCACCCACGGCGCACCACCCACCCTTCTGCTCGCCCTCCTTGCCCTCTCCACCTCTGCTCCCTGCAGGAACCCGTACGTTGTGGGCCTGGCCCTGACCTACTTCTTCATCTACGTCGTGCGCCAGGGCGTCACCTCCTGGTTCGTCTTCTATCTGCTGCAGGTGGGCTGGTTCACAGTGGCTGGTGGTGGTGGGCGTGGTGGCGAGGTCTGGGTGTGTGCATGTGATCTGTGGCGGTGCGTGTGTGCGTGTGTGTGTGTGGCAAGCGCTGCTATTGCCTTGCAAGGGCTTGCATGTTCCGGCTGGGGCCCCTGGCGTGCCGCACAGGCTCTGCCCCTGCTTTACTTGCTGAGCGCCTGCCGATCCTTGACCCTGCCCTGCCGGCCCACGCTCCCGCAGGTCAAGGGGGTGGCAGACGCGGGCGCTGCCTCGCTGCGCGTGTCCGGCCTGGAGCTGGGAGGCCTGTTTGGGTCGCTGCTGGCGGGCAAGCTGAGCGACATGCTGATCAACAACTCCCAGGGCAGCGGCGGCAACGTGGGCAAGCGCGTACAGGCGCGTGCGGCCGCGCGTGGCGGCCCGGCAGCTGCGGCTGTGTGCACAAATGGGCGTGCGAGCACAAATTTGTTTGGGGAGGCTGCGCGGCGGGTCCTTGTGCCCATGGGGCCTGCCCGTCTGGCCAGCGGCTGGCGTGGCTGGAGCAGAGGCCACGGGCAGTGCAGGGGCAGGCCAGCAGCTGCTCCCACCCTCCCAAAGCTGAAGATTTCACTTTTTCTGACCTGCCTCCCGGCCCTCCCTCCCCGCCTGCCTGCCCGCCCCGCTCCTGCCCGCTCCTGCAGGTGGTCATCGCCTACACGCTGGGCATCGCCGCCATGCTTATGGCCTTTGCCGCGGTGCCCGCCTCCATGGGCGCCATGCAGTGGGCCACCGTCTTCATGATCGGCTTCTTCCTGTACGGGCCCCAGGTGGGTGGATGGGTGTGTGGTGGGGGTGGGAAGCGGTGTGGTCCTGGAGGAAGTGCCGGGGGGGTGGTGCCGGGCTGGTTGGATGAGATCGGCTGTCCTCGCAAACTGCTGGCGTGGTGGTGGAAGCAACGTAGGGTGTCTGGCTTCTTGAGAGCCTGCGGGCTCAGCCCCCCGATGCCCTCCCGCTCCGCAGATGATGATTGGGCTGTGCGGCGCGGAGCTGGTGCGACCGGAGAGTGTGGGCGCCAGCCAGGGCTTCCTGGGTGGGTGGCCCCTGCCGCCCCTGCGCTGCCGCCTGGCGGCACCCCGCACGCGACGTTCCAACCCCCCTCCATTGGCAGCAGCTGTGGGCAATCGCCCGGCTGGGCTGCTTCCTGCTGCGCGCAAAGCTGCCGCCGTGTCTCACCTTGACGCCGCGGCTCCTCTCCCTCCACCGCAGGCTGGGTGGCCTACCTGGGCGCCGCCAACGCCGGCATCCCGCTGTCCATCATCGTCAAGGACTACGGCTGGGGGGCCTACTTCACAGGTGCGGGCGTGTGCTTGTTTGTTTATTTGCTGCTTTTCTGCTTTCCGCATTGCTTCCCTCTTGCAGACGGCACAGGGTGGCGTGGCAGGCGGGGGGGCAGTGTGGTGCCCGTTCAGGGTGCTGTAGCACAGGCCCCCGCCGCCCCCACACCTCAGCGCCATAGCCTGGGCTCGCTCCTCTCGCCCCGACTCCCTGCCCGGCCTCGTGTCCCGGCCCTCCCTGCAGCGCTGCTTGCTGCGTGCGGCGCCGCGGTGCTGCTGCTGGCGCCCATGATTGGTGCCAAGTCTTACATCCAGCTGGAGAATGAGCGCAAGGCTGCGGCCGCCAAGCTGGCGTGATGGCGTGGCGCCTGACGCGACGGCCAGCTTGGCGGGGGCGGCGGGGGGCTGACGCTGGAGAAGCCAATGTCAGTTGTTCTGGCACGGACGAATGTACCCCAGGCTGCGCGCGCGTGGCCGAGGCGGGCGGGTGCCGGCGCCTGCTGGAAGGCAGGTGCAGCGTGCGAGCCAGCTAGGCGGCCAGCGCAGCCACCACGCGTGCAAACATATACCACCAGGCCCACCCCAACACATAACGGCCTCAGATCACAGATAACACACACATTCTCAGGAGGCGCAGAGGAGCAGGGGGCACCCAACAGCTCCTTTAGCATTGGACACCTCTCTGCTGTTAGACACTTCCAGTTCACTTGCATCAACCTGTTTCGGCACTTCCCTTGTTGTTGTTTCATGCTGTTCCCGCTCCTCTTCCTCGGCGCTCTGTGGTACCCGACCCTCTCCCTTGCCACCTGCCAGCCTGCCGCGTGCAAGGCCGTCCGTGCCTGCCAAGGCGGCAGGTGCAGCTGTTTTTGGTACTTGGTTTTGCAAAGAGGGGCCTGGCGGACCACAACAGTATCCACTCTGTACTGTGCATGCGGTGTTAGAAGCCATTCGTACTTTGTCTTGAGACGGCATGGAACCCACGATGCAATTGACTCGGGCACTGTGGAAGGCCGCTTTGCAAGGACGAGGAGCTGATTTACAGACTGAGATGAAGTGTTTTGGGATCCAGGCACTTGCCGGCCGTGTGCACACATTAGGATTGATTTAGGGGCGAAGAGGGGGAGGAGGGGAGAGCGACAGGCATCACACATCTCTTGGGCCTGCCTATCCCCAGTCAGTCAACGGGTCAGAAAATTTGCAGGGCAAGCAACCCTCCAAGGCAGTTGAAGAAAACTACACATCGTGCTGGCCCAGTGGTCGCTAAGATGCAGATTGCAGTTTGGAGATGAGCAAGGGGATGGGTGGAGGCGCCGAGCCGGCGCCGGCGGCAAGCGCTGCGCGGCAGCAGCGCTCGTGGGCTGGCACCAGGAAGGGCGTGGGCCCTGCTGACACCTCACTAACTCGCAGATTGTCACGCACCGCTTCTTCACTCCGGCTGCGGCTCTGCTGCCTCAGCCGTCTCTGGCGCCGGCGCGGCCTCCGCCTCCGGCTTTGCTGCCGCCTCTGGCTCTGCTGCTGCCGCTTGTGGCTCGGGCGCAGCCGCCGGCGCCTCCTCCGCCTTGCCAGGCTCCTCCTCCGCCTTGGCAGGCTCCTCCTCCGCCGCCTCTGGGTGCGCCTCCAGCCATGCCTGCACATATGCCTGCATGCCCACGCACAGGAGCACCCATGGCAGGAACAAGCTCAGGAGAAACCATGCCACGCAGTGCTTTGTGCTGCAATCATCACTGGAGCGCAGCATGCCAACTGCCAGCTGGCAGTGCCTGGCAAGAAACCGGCGGGAAGGGAGCTGGCTGGAAAGTACCTGCGCAATGGCAATGACCTCCTGCTTGCGCGGCTTCAGGCTGAACCCAAACTTGGCCTCTGCAGGAGAACAGCGGCCGAGACGTGAGCACTCATTGGCGGTTGACCCACCCTGACGGCGGTTGACCGGCCTCCGAACGCGCTCGGTACAGCACAACTCAGCGCAGGAGGGCATGTGCAGGCAGCACGGGGACATGCAGAGGCCTTTGCAAGGTGGTCTGAGAAAAGTGCCAGCAGCAGCCCTGCTCACCCAGCTTCTTGAGGATGGGCTTGGCGGTGATCTGAGGCAGGTCTGCGCCCTCCATCTCCCCCAGGATGCCCTCCACCTCAGCCTTCAGCTCCTCGGCAGGAACCTGCAGGCGTCAACAGCAGGCGCGCCAACGAAAAGCAGCAAGCAAAAGGCAAGTGAAGCACAACGGGTCGGGTAGTGCGTGGCCGGGACAACACGCCTGGGGGCGGCAGTCAGGCCGGGGCGGGGCAGCCGGCGCGTGCCTTGCTGGAGGGGTGTGCCTCCTCCTCGGCCTGCTGCTGCGCCTCCTCCTCCATCGCCTCTGCCTCCTCTTCAGCCTCCTTCTGCACCACACAAGTTGCAGAAGCAGCAACACCAGGCGGGCGAGCTGGTGAGAGAGGCTGTGCGCACGGGCCTCCAGGGCACGTTGCAGCAGCGCAGCAGCACGTCCCTCTGCAGCTTGGGGTGCCTGCAGCAAGCTGCTCTGCGCACCCAGCTCACCGCTGCTGCCTTGCCCTGCCGGCCGCCGCTGGCACGCCGGTCCTTCTTGGCAGGCAGCTTCTCCTCCTCCTCCGACTCCCCCCCCTTCTCCTGCTCCTCCTCAGACGCCTCCTCCTCCTCAGCCTGCAGCAGCAGAGGAGCCGACCAACATCAACACCTGACAAATGATGGCCTCCAGGTCGACTCATCACAGCAACATGCCCACACGCATCAGAGCAGCAGGGGCGCCCGTGTCGGGTCAGCAGGGGGCTTCGTCTGGCAGGCGATGCCCACCTCGCTCTCCTCTTCAGGCTCCTCGTCCTCCTCATCCGCTGCCTTCTTGGCCTTCTGCAGCACAGCAACCCGGGCAGGCAGGGGGATTGCACAGTCGGGGAAGGTGACGAAATGCATTGCAACGGCGCCTTGCGCAGCCCGCAAACCATTTCCAAAGCAACAAGCACCTTGGCTGGGCGGCCGGCGCTGCCGCCGCTCTTGCGCTTGCCGGCCTTCTCCTTCTTCGCCTTCTCCTGCACCAGGGCCAGGTAGGGAGGCGGGCGCGGCGGCACACCTGTGAGCCAGCCCCCCGCGCCGTCGACACGCCAACAGCATGATGCAAGCTCCCTGGTTATGGGTGACAACACAGCGAACCGATTGCCCGAATCTCACAGCCCCGCCCCACCTTCTCCTTCTTCGCCTTCTCCTTCTTCGCCGCCGCGCGCTCCCGCTTTGCCTTCTCCTTCTCCTTCTTGCTTGCCTCCTGCAGCACACAATCAGCTGGCGTATCGGGCCCTCGCATGCCGCCACCAGGCGTCACAGGCGTCAACATGCGCCAGCAGCGCACACCTTGGAGGCCAGGTCCACATCCGACAGCGGCTTGGGCTCCTGCAGGAACTCCAGGATGCGATCCACCTTGGCGGCCTGCAGCACAGACCGGGTGGGTGGGTGGGGTGGAGTGGGGGAAGGAAGGCAGGAAGCGGGTGTGGGATACGGACGCACGCTGCACGATCCATGCCCGCTACCGCTTGCTGGGCAGGCCCACTGGCCCACTGAGGCTGAGCCACTCCACGATGCTTGCTCGCATCCCCTCTCGCCCACCCACGCCCGTCCTCAGCTGCCCGCCTCCATCCGTCCACTCCATCCCCTCTCCCCCACACTGCTTGGCGCGCCCACCGCTCGCAGCGCCCACTCCTTTGGAGCGCCCACTCCTCCGAGCGCCCACCTTGTCCCCGCTGCCTCGCTGCAGGTCCAGCAGGTCCATGGCTCGGTGCACCAGCTCCAGCTTCCACTTGCCCAGGCTGGCCCGCCGCGCCTCCAGCTCCTTCTCCTGCAGGCAGAGGCAGAGGCGCACACAAGCGGTGGCATAGCAGGCAGCCAAAGGTTCGCTGCGAGGAGGCCAGCGGGCACCTGTGCATGCCCAGGCTCGGCCAGCTGGCGTGGCGGCGGGCCCCGCACACGCCACGCCGCATGTGCAGGCAGGCGCCCTGCATTGCGCTGCACGGCCCTGGGAGCAGCCCACCTTTTGGTCCTCAGCAAAGGCGAAGCCGGAGAAGTCCAGCACGGCCTTCTTGCGCTGCGTGGCCTGCAGCCAGCGTGGCCGGCGCGACGGGGGCGGGGACGGCGGATGGGCGGCGGCGGCGTGCGAGGCAACACAAGCCGCGCTGCCCGCAGCGGCGCCGCCCTTGGCCATGGACGCTTTGTGCGGGACTGCGACGAACCCCAGCGGTGCGGCGACCCCCACCACTGCTGCCCAGCCGGTTCCTGCCTGCCCCTCGCTGCGTGCCGCCTCCACCTGCCCCCCATTCCCCGATCCCATCCCCCGCCGCCGCCACCCACCACGCGCTCTACGCGCCAGCACTCACCGCGCCCTTGCGCCTGAACAGCACATTGTGCAGGCCCTCGATCAGCTCATCCCTGCCAGTCAGCTTGCCCATCTTGTAGGCGATGTTGGGGATGTCGCGCAGCTTGGTACCGCTGCCCTGCCCCACCGCCAGCACCTCCTCCACCTCCTTCTTGGCAGCTTCCACCGGGGCAAAGAACTCCACCTGCGGGTGATCCAGGGAGAGCAGAGGGTGGGCGACTGCCCCGGTTGCACCGACTGCCCGGGTTTGCTGGCGGAGCGCAGGCACCTTGCTATGGGTTGCAGGGAGAGGAGGTGCGGCGTGTGGCAGTGGCGAGGGGTCCAACCAACCTGCTTGCGCTCGCGGCGGACGCGGCCGCCGGTGCCGGTGCTCGCCGAGGCGGGGGTGGGCTTGGGCTTGGTGGCTGGCGTCTTGGCAGGCTTCTTCTTCTCGGTGGTGGGGCTGGTGGCGGCCTCTTCAGCAGGAGCCTCCTCGGCGGCAGCGGGGACCTCCTCAGCTGCAGGCAGGATGGGCGCAGGGAGTGATGGAGGGCGGCTGGTGTACCCGCTGGCAGCGGTATTGGCTTGCTGCCAGCGCAGGCGGCAGCCTCCGCCACCGCTGTCAGGGCGCTCAGGGAGCTGCGGGAGGGTGTTTGATGTGCTGGACAGTTCCCAGGCTGCCCCGGGAGCCCCAAGGTGGCTCAGGGCTGCCGACTCCGGCACGGCAAAACATGCAGATGATCACCTGCAGGCTCAGGCGCTGCCTCTGCCGCCCCCGCGGTCTCCACCTCCATCGCCACCTCCTGCGCGGGAGCCGGTTCCACAGCCGGCTCCACCATGGCGGTTCGGAACGTTGGCGGCTGCTGGGGAGTGCCTGGGCGGCCAGGGGTTGCGATCGAAGGTTGGCACGCTTGATCGAAATCGAGGGTCCAGGGGTTGGGGCGGCGATCGTGCGGGTTTTTTGAAGGCAAGGATGCCACGTGGCTTCCCTCAGCCCTCAGCCCCCTCAGGTGAGTTGCTTGTCCTGGACGGCTTGTAAATGTCAAGAATCCAATCTTTAGTCAACCACAATGCAGGGCAGCCTGAGTCGCTACATGGAGAAGCCCAAAACCAAGCAGACTGCTCAACCCGAGCAGCAACCTGGTCCAGCAGTGGCAAAGCGCAAAGCCAAGGGCGGCAGCACGCTGCTGGCAGCCCTCAGCTCACAGCTGGTGCGCGGCGGCGGCAACGGCGGCGGCGGCGACTGTGCCGCCGGTGCCGCTGGCAGCGTGCAGCAAGAGCAGCAAGAGGCGGCTCCTCCCCTGCCACTGCAAGAACTGTCGCTGAACGTGCAGGCAGCAGCACCACAGCAGCAGCAGCAGCAGCGAGAGAGTCCCGCCTGCCACCCTGGAGGCAGCGGGCCCAGCGCCGACCACGCCCCCGCCTTGCAGCCCTGCCCGCTGTGTGGCCAGCTGCTGCCAGTGGGGCAGCCTCTGCAGCGTCATGTGGAGGAGGAGCTCCTGGATCTAGAGCAAGAGGAGCAGGCGGAGCATGGAGGAGGCGGGCCGTCGAGCAGCGGTGGCGTTGCACTGCGGCACCAGCAGCAGCAGCAACCCCCAGCATGGCAGCAGCACGCGGCAGCAGCAGGGGGTGGCGCGCCAGTGCATCATCGGCAGCAGGAGCAGCAGCGATGGCAGCAGCCACCGCATGCGCAGCAGCAGCAGCACCACCAGCAGCTCAGTCTCCCAGGACGACAGCTACCGCGGCCTCCCCAGTGCCAGCCACGGGCGCAGCCGGCGCTGGTGCTGGTGCTGGGCGGCGCGCCGCAGGTGACGGCGCCCACCGACCGCCGAGCACTGCAGCGCCTGCAGCGCCAGCGCCTGCTGCCGGCCAAGCGCCCGCGGCAGCCGGCCGTGGCGGGTGGCTTCAACTTTTACCACGACGGCAGCGGTGCCTGGGTGGGTTCCGGGATGTACACCTTGCTTGCTCAACGGCGCCTGGCACCGTTTGCACGAGCCGCGGCCAGGCTGCCCAGAAGCACCCACACCACGGTCGCCGCCCGCCTGCCTGCTTGCAGGGCGGCGAGGACATCGGGCTGGATGGGGCGGAGCATGCCGGCATGCAGTGGGAGGGCATGGGCACCTCGGACTTCTGAAGGTGGCGCCCACTTGGCTGCTGTGCTGTGGACAGCATGCCCTAGCATCAGTGCATTTTTCCCGCCCGGCATGCGCCACCCGCTGTGCGGTCCCCATGCGTGCACTGCTTGCCTTGCGCAGCTCCTGGAGCAGGCTGCTTCCTGTAATTTCATACGACATTGATTGGTCGAGGTGCGGGGAACCTGACGCCCTGTGAGCGCCCGGCGACGGCGGTGGTACTGCCGGCGAGGTAGCCAGGCATGTGTTGCCCGCTGATGTGGCACCTCCCCCGATTCGTCTGGCTCATCAGGCACGCTCTCTCCCGCGATCCCTCCCTTTCCTTCGCCTTTCAGAGTCTCTAAGGCTTCTATTTCTCCCCTCCCGCACCCCGCAGCTGCCGCAAATTTAAAATTATGAACCAACCTGTCATCCTTTATGCCTTAGAACGGCGCCAAAACGGCGCCAAGAATGTGTTTCTCACTAAGTCAGATGTAGAGGGCATCATCCGGATCAAGCAGGGCGACCAGCAGGCGCCCTCAGGCCGGCGGCGGCGGGGTGCGGGAGGGGGGGCGGCAGTGCAGGGCGGCGCCAAGAACTACAGCAAGAAGGTGCTGCAGTTCTTCCAGGTGCTGAAGGGCGCTGGCGGTCAGGACATCCTGTGCCGCTGCGTCAAGCGCAGCGGAGAGTG